ACCTTTGCCATCCCATGAACCAATAAAACTTCATGCATTTTTCCACTCTTGAATCCTATTTAGCCTCTTTCAAACCAATAAGATTTCATGTAACAAAATTTATTCTTTATTTTTCTTATTAAATCAAATCAAGTGTAATGATTACACCTTTTTCTTTAAATACCATGGGCTATCTTTGCCAAACCATGGTTTCCCTTGCCATTTCATTTTATTGGCATTCTACTTAAATTTCATCTTGGTTTCCATAATACAAATATATATACATTAAATATTCACTTCGCTTAAAATAGAGAAATTACACATAAGTCCTCCAACTTTTTCTTATTTACCATTTGACCTTCCAAACTTTTCATCTTTTATAATTTGGTCTTTGAAACCTTTTGCAAATTACAAATTGAACCTTCAACTTTTGATAATTGCAACTTCACCCCTTAACTTTTCATTATTTATAATTCCACCCCTCAACTTCTTATTCTTTTTAATTGGGTCCTCCCATCATTCCTTTATTTCAATTCTCTTCTATTTTTCTTTCTTTACACTTGTACAAATAAAATATCAAATTCATACTCCACCAAGGTGTCATCATAATATTTAAATATATACTTACTCTTTCTCACTTAATTGAATAAAGGCACGCGAACCGCACTAAAGCTTCCTTTCTTCAAAATTTTTCTTACTTTCACTCTCCCACTTAGACAAATTGTACAAATCACACATTCTTCGTGTAATATAACCAATTTGACATCAGTATTATTTACTATTATTTTATCTAAAAATTATTATTTTATTTCAAAATTTTCCTTTAGGCTTCTAGAGCTCCAAAATACCTTATTTTGCCCCAATTTAGCTCTATAATACCTTTTTAACTCCACAACTTTGACCTAAATAAGATATTATTATTTTATTATTATTTTATCACATACAAAATATTTTACTCTAAAATATTCCTTTCACCCTTCAACACTCTTAAACACTGTAATTAACCTTAATTAGTACCTAATAAGGTCTATTAGCCACCATATCAAAGTATGGGGTGTTACAAAAACAAGTCCTTGTACCTATTCCATGCCTCATACAATGACTTAGAGTCTAATTGTGTGAAAAAAGTGATATCATTCCTCATCTTAACTGTCTTAGCAAAGGAAAAGAACTTGGCTAGAAATTTCTATGCAAAGTCATCCCACGTAAAGATGGAGTAGGTGGGGAGAGAGTTCAACCAAACTTTGGCCTTATCTTGTAGTGAGAAAGGAAACAACCTCAACTAAATGACATGATCAGTAACTCCATTATGCTTAAAAGTGTCATAAATTTGCAAGAAGTTTGAAATGTGAGTGTTTAAATCATCATTTAGTAAGCTACCAAATTGAACAGATGATTGGATCATTTGAATGATGGCCAACTTAACATCAAAATTGTTAGCTTGAATTATTGGTGTTCGAATACTAGAATGGAGTCCTTGAACCAAAGGAATCGTATAGTCTCTCAAAGATCGATTGTCCTTCACTACATGCTCTTGCAGTTGTTATTCTCTGGGGTTTTCAACAATTGTTTCAAATTGATTGGAGTTTTGGGAGTTTTGTCTCAATAATCTCTAAAAATTCTTTCCAATTTCTGGATCACAAGGTACAAGTTCCAAACTCTGCACTTTTCTCATGCAATGACTTTACGTACTTGAAAATAAAAAGAAATAAAACTTGAATTAAGACTAGCTTGAATTGGTATTAATATTAACAAAAGCATATAAAAACAACTCCCTAACAATGGCGTCAAAAACTTGTTGCAAGCTTAAATCCTACATGAATTTAAACTGACACACAAGTGCATGTGCTATGAACAAGTAATAAAGTGATAAGTACAAGTATTGATCACACAAGGAGTTGATTATAATTTTCACTAAGTACAAAAATTGGGTCAAGCTAACCTTATCCAATCTAACTAAAGTGTGGAAAATGATTAAAAACAAACTAATTAATTAAGCTAATTAAAGAAATGCAAGGTAAAATAATCTGGAAGCAATATTTTAAGTCTAGGATTATTGTTTCATTCAACATTTCACTTGGATTGTTATTTCTCTTAATTACTTAATTCAATGGGGGTTGATGCTAGTCTAGAATTCTTATACATGTGCAAACCTATTTCTAGGTATTTGTACAATTGCCTAGATTAATTGGGTTTGTATATGTCTATAGGATTCAATTAAACTAGATTCTTTAAGCCCAATTTCCACTTAGACTATACCTACTTGCTAATCAAGGCACTTAATTTCTAAGTGATACGAACACATATTATCTAAACCAAGGTCAAATCTAAACTAACATTTCCAATCTCATTTAGACACCACAACCATTCAATTGGCGATCAAGTAATCAATGGTCAATAAATTCATATTTGAATAAACAACAACATACCCATTCAAAATAAGTAAAAGAGCAACAAATAATCCAAGTTACATGAAGAAGTGCTCCAAAATCCTAGATGAAAGCTATTTAGTTCATCATAGTCGATACCTCGATTATATAGAGTTATTTTGACACATTTTGGAGGCTTAAGTAGTTAGATTTTTGAGATTTTAGGCTCGAATCGTATCATTTTAGGTGTTTTTCTAGTTTAAGTTTGATTACATGTTGAGTAGTTAATTTAAGTTATTTTAGTTAAATTTTATTTTGTTTGAAATTACTTTAAGAGTAGTATTAGTAATTTCTCTAACTGCTTTTGTAGGAAATTTGATGAAAAAGGCTCATTTGATGAAAATCCATGCAAGCATGGTGATAGCGTCATTCATATATGTTGTAGTATTTTGACCATATCTCTATCTAAAGGACTCCAAATGAAGTGATTCTTAGACCACTAGACTTAAAGAGGAAGAGCTACAATTTTTATGTTTACCATTTCACCCAATTCGGATTGGATCGTGGTCAAAATATTTGTCTAACTCAGAGCACTGCAGCATTATACATACACTGAACATGATGCGGTATTTGAAACTCATCTTTGAATCCTAAAGTCCAATTGAATTGATTCTTAAGCCATTGGAAAGTTAAGAGATAGGGATAAAACTTTCATGTTTTTCACTTTGCCAAGTTCATACTAGATCAGGGTGAAACTCACATTCGAAGTTGATAGACAGCCGCAACACTTAGAGAACAAGGTTGCAGCACTGGTGAAAAGAAGCACACCACATTTTTCGAGAGCTTAGCACTGCAGTGCTGAAGAAGTAGCATTGTAGCGCTGTGCGATTTTTCAAAAATAAAAAATTGACGAGATTTTGGAAATTAGGTTACTTGAAGCTTATTTAAGGGACCTTTTTCAAAGCTTTAAGGAAGAGGCAGCAAGCAACTATTCTGGAGATTTAGAGCTAAGAACAAAATAAGAAAACAAGAGAATTTGAGAGAATTGAGATCATAAAACTTCAATAATTAGTTTCTTTCTTACTTTTGTATTTTTTTTTATTTTCTTTGACTTGGATTCATGGCTAAATTTCTTTGGATGTTCTTTTTATTTGTTATTATGAGCTAAATTATCTTTTCTATGGTTGTGGTGGATTTTAACATGTAGTTTGAATATTAGTTTCTCTTTTATTTATCATGACTGGTTGTAGTTTTGCTTATTCAAATTTGTTCTTAATGCTTTTGATCGCTTAGCGAACAATTAACTGATTTGTAAATTTAATTAAGACTTGACAGAGAGATTTTATATTGGACTAAGGTTTGAATAATGTATGTTCACGTCACTTAGGTGATTTGATTTGCAATTTGGGTAGACATACACTAATTGTCATACATAGCCACACTTGCTTCATGTACTTAATTTAATTGATTCCAATAGACATATAGTAAAGAAATTAAGTTAAGTATTTGTATAAGCAACTCGACAGAGACTTGTCCATAGCTTTGGATTCTAGGTTAGTAAAACCACCTAGGAAAGATAAATAACAAGAAAAGCTAGTCTTAGATGAAATGTTGAATGAACCCATAATCCTAGGTCTTTAATATATTGCTTTTATTAACTTATTTAGTTTGTTAGTTCATTTAGTATTGATTTTTAATTATTTTTAATTAGCTTTTCTTTAATTTTCAGATTACTTAAATAAAATTAATTTGTTTTGTAATTTTAGTAATTAGTGAAACTTTAGGAACAAATCTTAGTGGGAACAATACTCTACTTCATTACGATATTACTTGTTCGATACGTATACTTGTGTGTGCAAGATCGACAACAATAGTTATAGTAAAATTCAATATTTCTAGAAAATAACTCATTTCTCCAATAAAATATAAAGAGAGAGAGAGAAAACTAGTGAGAGAAATTATTTGCTACAACTTTTGGAACCAAACCTGTTTTCTCCTTTTGTAGAAAACTTCCTTTTCTAGAAAATATTCTATGCTTCGAACCCCCAAAAACCCATTTAAAATGACCTCTTTATATCACCCTTTAAAAAGCCCTAAATGCCAAATTCGAGCATGTGCAAATTAAAATTCCCTGTGCTTGAGCCTAGGTGTATAGTGGTTGGCACATAGGCACTAGGCTCTCTATCGCTTTCTGCTATGTTTGAGGAATGGCCAGTACCTAGGTGCTAAGTGGCTAGTGCCTAAGCACCAGGCCCTTTGTTTGTTGCTGTGCAATATGCGACAGTCCTTCAAATTCCAATGCATTTTTTATCATGATTTGATCAGAACTTAGTAAAG